TCATATCACATTTATTATCAAATAATTATTTTTCTTCGGGATTCTATATTGTGTAATTGTTATATATTAAAACACGTGTAACATTATTTCAATAATTAAATATACGTAAATTATAAAATATTATGATAATCATATATTATTATGTTCATGTTATTTTTCATTGAGAATTTACGGAAGATTTTACTGGGGTATTAAGTATTATTTACACTTTTTTTTTTTTTTTACTTGAGTAAATTAATTTACAATCTCATGATTTGATTTATGAAAATGTTTTAGTATCCGAGAATTTTGTTCCTTTTTTTTTTTTAACGAGTTCTATGAAATGATTATAACGATTATAAACAAATCGCAACATAAATGTTTATTGATTTTTTTTTTGAAAAGATCTTTAAGATCATAACATTGCGATAATATATTTTTGTCATTCGTACAGTTAACTTTAACATTTATTCAGTTTTCTATTGACCGGTGACACTTCTCTCATGTCGAGTTTAACGATACGAGCGTTCCATCAAGTTTATTAAGATACTAAATCGAACATATGACTCTGACACATCTAATTTTAAATTTTATGGGTGTAAATGCAAATAGTATATCTCGTGAATGTCGTAAATGTTGTTCGAAATACGAAGAAAATATTCTTTTATCTATAAAAACGTCCAATAGAAAAATATTATATTTTTCTTGTTCACCTATCGAAAGAAAAATAAAAGGGCGAACTATAAGAGATAGAAAAAAGGTAGAAAAAAGGTAGAGAAAAAGGATTCTTCAAAAATCTTCAATCTTTGAGAAAAACCCCGTTTGGAAAATAGATCAAAAGTTATTGAGTACAAAAGAGGAATCGTTTCTTTTCAATCCACTATCATATATCCAATAATGCTTTATGCATTACGTTTATCAGCAAAAATGCAATACATTTTTATTGTATATATATATATATATACCTAGTTGATCCTTTGAAGCAAGCTGTCGAATTTCATATTGTTCAAATTCTGGATAAAACAGTATGTTGAAGTTTTTTATTTTTTTAAAAGTAAAAAATCGACAGTTTCATTTCACGTCAAATTATCCAGGTAGTAAACCAATTTTAAGAGTGAAAGTGGGTTAACGTCAATTTTACGAGTTTCCCTTCAATCTTCTTGATATATTTTCGAACGAGAAATACAATATGAGTATTCTTTATATGCACTTATTACTTATTTTGTAAGTACATTCGTTTTAACATTTTTGAAAACTCCATTTCAATATTTCAATGTACTTAATCACGTATTTTCATGAATATTAATAAATCACCGTGAGATACAATACATTTCATGATACTTCTGTATATATTTTATCTTTACTTTAACAGACTGAAAATTTCTATCTTGTTGAATAAAAACTTTATTTAATAATATATTTATCTACACGCGTAAAAAGTATTATTATAATTTTACAATAATAAATGTAAATCATTTTAGTTAACAGTGAAATGAATTCTTTGAAAACGATACGATATATTTTATAAATTATACGTGACAAAGCTTTTTACGAATATTGATACTTATTAAAACATAACAAACTTTCGTTATTTAAATCTCAATGCTTACATTTTCACAATGACGTAAAAGTGTCGATTGAAAACTCGTAGAACGTATATGAACAATGGTAGATTGACGTATGTCAACAACAACAAAAAAGAAAAACAAGAAAGAAAAATAAATTTTTGTAAAATTTCTAACACAAATTAAAAAAAAAAAAAACGAACGAGTAAAATGATTCGAATTTCTATTCGATATGAATCATATGTTTCAAACTATTATGCATGTAATCTGTAATTTATGCATACACTCATTGAATTTTAATGATCACCGTTTAATTATATTTATTAATATAATACTATAATAATGATATTTGTGTGTGTATGTGTTTGCATGATCAATAAAGAGCCATTAAAAAGCAGCAATTATAAGTAAGAAACATGCATGTATTACTCGGTTATCAATAAATTAACTCTTGAGCTTTTCATTTTTATTAGAATGCATATATATTTGTTCTTTGTTATATTATATTTTTTTCTCTCTCATTTTTTGAAAATAACTTCCGTAGTTATGAATTTTTTGTAAATCGAAAAATCGCGCGCGCGCGTGAGAATTCTTATAAATTAAAATATAAATTTATAATATAATAATATCAATATTATAATATAATATATATAAAATATATATTATATTAGTATAATATAATATTTAATTAATATAATATAATATTGAATTATATTATATCTATATATATATATAAATTTCTTATATAAATTAAAATATATATTGATAAGATATTACAAAAATGAGATGACATCATTGTTCGACTAATTTTTATTTTTTACTACTTGCAAAAAAAAGAAAAAACTATTTCAAATAATACAAATGAAATTTGCAATAAAACTGCAAGAAAAAATTATCTCACTTTGTAAATCTTGGAATAAATTATTCATGTAAAAGCTTGTCTTTTTTTCTCACTCTCTTTCTCTGTTATTTTTTATCAGGTAGGGGTATTGCAATCTATTCAAATTTCAAATATAGTCATGTTAAATCGTCCGCGACACATAACGTCCAGTTTTATAATTCTTCTAACACATTTGACGAGTTCCACGTATTATGCGTTTCCAAGTCAAAAAATCTGCAATGTGTAAATAACGTGCTTATATTTGACGACAACAATTTTCCAGAATTTCTTTCTCTCTTTGACTCTATTGACTCTATTTGCTCTCTCTCTTTTTTTTTATTTTTTGCATTTTTTTTTTTTTATTATGTGTTATTAACGTTTTATTATGCGTTAATATCTCATTAAGAAAATAATTGTGATTTAATAAGAAGAGAAAAAATTTCATAAAATGAATTCACAATAAAACCAGTTTATTTCGAATAATATAAAATAAAAATCAAGAAATATGCATTCTAGGAAACTGCAATAAGAAGAATTTTCTAAATTACAATAGTGGACGTAATAAATTCTTCATTTTCTTTTTCTTTAGAAAATAAATTAGTTTCTCTCGTACTTATGGAAAATAATTTTATTGCAAGAACGTTGAGATAATAGATTAAACGTAAATATTAATAATTCCAACGAAGATACACTTCACATTTATTTTCAGAATGAATATATGAAGTGTTTTTTGATAAATATCTATAAAATATAATTTAAATAAAATATAATATCTTAATATATATAAATTACGTGTTACGTTGTTTGTCCGCAATGGATTCCTAAACTACTGAACCGATTTTAATAAAATTTTTCACACTGTGTGCAGTTTCATCCAACTTGAAAGATAGGATAGTTTATATCTCAATTTATAATCGCAATATTATTTTATTGCGAATTATTTGTTTATTAACAAAGAGTCAGGATTATCTCTGTTAGTTCGATAAGGTTTTAACAGATGGCGGTATAAGGTAATTCGTTGACTTAAAGACGTGTGAATTGGACTGATTGTAAGCCACAGCAACGCGTGGCGGGGCATCCATAATACATATATAAATATAAAATAAATATTATATTTATAAAATATAAATATAATTATAAATTCAAATATAAATATATAATTAATAATATATATATTTAAATATCTATAATAGGCTTAGTTGTAATCTACTAATAAACAATTTAAACATATTGAGGATTAAAAGAAATATATATAAATGAATGAATAAAAAACGACGATAAATATATTTTTTTACAATAAATATTCAATAAACTGTAACAAATAAAAAAAATATCATTCAGGATTGAATCGCAAGGTAGTAGTAACAAAATAATAAAAAAAAAAGAACATTGGAAAAATACAACTATTATTTGTCTATGCTTTCTTTTTTTTATTTTTTTTATTATTTTTTTTTTTATTTTACAAAACTTCACTCTCGTAGTATTTCTTTCTTCCTCGATAAATATTTGATTCAATTGATTAATGTAAAATCTTAATAAATAATCGTCGTTCTTTATCACTCTGTTGAATTAAAAAGCGTTTTAGCTAATTCAAATATTTATCATTAAGGTCAAATTTACACGTGTGGTTTATTCACTTCATGCAACAAATAATAATCAATATTCTGTTAAACTACAATACATCTCTAGTAGTTGATATTCACGTTTCAAATAAACAATTTAACATTTAACTTCACTAGTATTATTTTCCTATAGTTTATTTTATCAAAATGTTTTTCTACGTTTCGATCACGTTTCGCAAAAGTTGTATTTATTTTTTGTTAGTTTTTTTTTTTTTTTCTTTTATTTGTTTCCATTCTTTATTTACGTACACAATTCTTTCATACTATTCTACATATCTAGTATAGATATGTACGTACATATGTGTATATACACTTTTGTATAGAAAATATCATTGATACACCTCAGAGAGACTAATGAAATATTATTCTTTCTTTTCAGAAATCCTGTATTCAAAAAGAAACGTATAAAAGTGTACAATATGTATAATATCGAAAAGAAAGAAAACAACGAACTATTAGTAAACTCGATGATCCTATGAGGAAAAGTCAAAAAATCTGTTTTCATCCATTCATACGATTCCATCTAATGGGAGAAGAAATAAAAGTCGTTGTTTTCCAACCGATTAAAACGAACTTTTGCTACAAAACGAAACGTCTTTTGCAATCAGCTAAACAATTCATCACTTTTCCCCCCTTTCTCTTAAGAAAATAGTACTTTCTATAAGTCGACAACTGTTCTGGACAATCGTATATTTATCTTCAAGTTTTCCCTGGTTTAAAACTGGATCAACTGCAAATGCGGAATTCATTAAGAATAAGATAAAGTTAAGACCGCAGTAAAATGGCCATACCAAAAATCAATGAATACTATTACTACTACTACTACTACTACTACTACTACTACTACTATTAACTTTCTTAAAGGAAAATCAGAAATTATTTGTTTTATTATCTTTTGCGATAATACAAATCTAAATTCGATTAATTATTGGTGGTTTTAGTAAAAGATTAAAACAAAAAAAAAATAAAAATAAAAAAAGGAAAAAAAGACCACCCACTACTTCAACGAACTTTCTCGGAAACAAGATTTATTCTACTGATCGAAAAGTTTACTACGATAATTTGTAGTAAATTTGTGGAAATGATATTTCCCGAGTGAATCGAATTTTCTTACGAAAATAAGACCGCATCAGCAACAACCGTAATCCCATTGGCAAGTTGAAATCTAACAAACATTTTCTACGAAAGCTAATACTTTCGCCAACGTCATTTTGTAATGTTAAGAAAACAGAACGATTTCACGTTTGAGAAACAAAAACATTAGAATCAAATTTAAGTATTTACTCAGATCGATAAAAGGATATTATTATTTTTGTGTAAAATGCCATGTTATGTCACGGGAATCGTGAGGATTTATATTACAAAGCATACTTGAATTCTTCGTTATTTGAATTAAAATTACTCCTACGAAATATATCGAGTATGTATTTACATCCAAATTACACCGATATATTAACTCTATATAATATTACGGCAGAAGATATCGATTACGTAAACAACTTCAGTCTTCCGCCGGAAACATCGACGACGTTTTGTTATTGCAACGGTTCCATCAGAAATTGGGCTATGAGCTATAGAATATACCATGGTTACGTAGCAATAATAGTATGCATATTTGGTACATTTGCCAATATGTTGAACATCGTTGTGTTAACCCATAAAGATATGATGATAACACCGATAAACAAAATATTAACAGGATTAGCATTTGCTGATATGTTGGTGATGTTGGAATACATACCATTTGCTGTTTACATTTATTTCGTTCTACCAAAACGACAAATCTTTCCTTACGGATGGGCCGTCTTCGTTTTATTTCATATGCACTTTACACAGGTCATTCATACCATCAGCATCGCATTAACTCTAACACTGGCTGTTTGGAGATATATCGCTTTAAGGTAAATTTATTTCAAATAGTTTTACTCTTTTCTATTGCCATAGGTAGTGCAATTATAATATTCTCTTATATAAAAAGATAATAAGAATAAATATTAAGTTTATCGGAAAGTTCTGTCCATTCTGACAAACACCGGTTCAATTTTTTAGGGATAAAACATTTTTTTTAAATGCAATATACAAATTGTCATCACACTATGATAAGAAATTATAAATAATGATAATTGATAAATATTAGTTAATTAAAGAGATATAAAAATCTATTACTTTTGTTTTATTCTTAAAATGGACAGAACTTTCCAGTAGACCTAATCGAATTTCTGATCGTATCTGTAAATATTATTTAATATAGAATGATGTTAGAAATACAATTTTGTGACGGATAAGATACGTTGAGGATGGTAAGAGAGTAAGAGTTATAAAAGGTAAGATGAAAACTTCAAAAGCACGTACGACTACTGACCGAGATACAAAATTGTGTTTTCTTAGGACGGCGTAAAGTAATATCTAATAACGTGTATTCTTTGTATTATATATAAATCTGCATAAGCTTCTTTTTTCTAAGAACATAATCTGAAGTTCTTTCGCAATTTGGTTTATAAATTGCTTCATAATAATCTCCATACTTTTTCTTCTTTTTCTTTCGTTCGTTCTTGCTTCTCATTTTGTCCCTCTGTCTTCTCTTTCTAAGTTTGAATATATTATTGTCAAGCTTTTGTCACATAAATCTTCTCTTCCCTTTCTTTCTAAGTTCTCGACATTGACAACTTTTTAAATACTTTTTCTTCTTTCACCTTAATATATCACATCTCCAATTTAGTTCAAAACTTTTTTTCAACTTTGAAACTTTTGAGCTATCGAAAGTTATCAAATTTCATAACTAAATGTAATCTCGTATATATGGATATAAAAAAAAAAACATGTGTGCATATTACACAAGAGTTAGAAGTGAAACCTTCAAATAAACAAGTTTCGAGAATAATTTATTATATAATATTATTATAATATTATTTGTACTTTTTATTTGTAATTATTTATTTAATTATTAATTTAATTATAAAAATGCGCGCCTGTTCGTATGCAACCCTCCAGACACACATTGAAAATGATGCTTGCGAGCGCCATCTACTGGGACAGAATTTTTTTGCAGTCAAAACTGTTTATACGCGTATGTATGACGGGTTGCTTATCTTTCAGGCAAAACAAAATTCCGTCCCAAAAGATGGCGCTCGCAAGCAACATTTTTCAAAGTGTGTCTGGAGGGTTGCATACATACAGACGCACATCTTTATAATAATTACAAAGAAAGTAAATAATAAAACACTTTAAAAAATGTTTTACAAATCAAATATTTTTATATAAATAATGATAAAAATTGAATTCCAATATTGTAATTAATTTATGCATATTTTTAGAATAATAATTAGTATTTTATAATATATGAAATAAAAATAAAAAATCATCAATTTTTATTTTTATTATGTATAAGCATATATATAAATACTTATACATAATATATATATTATACATACATACATATAAGAATAATATATAGTGCCTTGTAAAAAAATATTCTTCATAAACGTTACTTACGTACAAATTGCTTTGAAATATTTTCTGAGATAATAGAGAAATGACGAGAGCTCGTACTATCTTTTCAAAGATATTGCCCTGACTCATTGAACTTTATTTTTGTTCATATAGAAATTCTCCGGGAGCAAAATTTAACCCAATGTAAGTAAATAGGTACTAAACGTTTCTTGTCAACCCTTTTATTGTTTATGCATCACTCGAATCATATGAGAGAGACTATTAATTGAAACAAGTTTATTATTTATGTTTTGAAATTGAATATAACAAATTAAATGTAACATTTATTACACAATTTTGTCAAGAAATTTTCTTAATTGCAATCCGTTGTTATCTTTTATTATTTCATTTGAACATTTGAAAAAATTAATAATAATTATAGATTTTTCATTACATTTTTTGCCAACAAAAAATACACAATTATATCATACATGATGTTTCTTTGTTTTACCGCAGACATATAATAATTACACGCATTTTTTTATTGCATAAAATATATATATATATAAACGAAAATTAAAACGTCAAATGATAAAAAATTGTTAGCCAATAACCAGAGCGAAAATGAAAAGTTATTAAATAATTTTAATTAATTTACATTTGGTAAATACGTAATTATACGAATTTAAAAGTAAATGTTCGAATTATAGTCCAAATAATAGTTGAATTATTTCAAGATAAAAAGATCATATTATAAAAAGGTAAAAACTTTGTTAACGAGATAACAAAAAATTACATTTCGTTTTATACGTAGTTTTTAATTTCTTTTTATTAAATAGTAGAAGAGTAGACTTAAGGGAAACAAAACGATTCCACTTTGACCATAAAGAAACATCAAAAAATTACGCTCGTTAGATGTACGTTTTATTGTAGCAACATACTTGTTGCCTGTCTCAACATAAGATTTTTATGGGTGTTGCAAAGAAATCTCGGTATTGTAAAGAAATATAAATTCATACTCGACCTTCTCTTGAAATTTCTTTCTTTCTTTTCTTGTTTTTCAAATTTTCTTTAATTTAATTATTAGAGCTTCGCAAAAGAAGCGCAATAATTGAAAAAGAAGAAAGGTGAAATTTCATGAGAAAAATAAATAAAAAAGAAATAAGAAGATATTTAAATAAATAAACTTTTTCTTTTCTTTGTCCATCTATCGATCTTCCTAAAGAAATTTATTATATTACATAAACAAAACGTGTATTTCTCGTAACGGAAATGAAAATGTGGAGGTGGTGGAGGTGGAGGAGGAGGAGGATTCGTGTATTGTTCAAAATTCATTGTTACAATGTATCATCCGTTGATACGTGTTTCAGGTTTCTGCAATACAACCACGCATGGTGCACACCTACTCGTTGCAAGATAGCTCTATGGTGTTGCGTTTTGGCACCATTGATCGCATGTGCACCAAGCTATTTTGTCTTTGGCGTGAGTAGATTTTCATAGCAATCGATACTACTATAATAGACTTCTCATTGATTCATAGCTTTTGGAATCTACATCAAAGGATATGTAACAAATAATCTTACTACTTGATACATAGATAAGGGATCAAATTGTCTGTGAAAATGGAACTAAAGAAATCTTGTATCATGTGGATACCGATTATTCAAGAGACAAAGGATTTATCTATCAACTTAATTTTTGGATACTTGGTGTTGTCGTTAAACTTATGCCCTGTGTTATACTTACCATCATTATATGTTGGTTAATTAAAACACTTTGCAGGTATATTACACAATATATAGTATTTTAATTTAGTAATAATAATTTTAAAATATATATATATATAAATATTTATTTTGATAATATTTTATAATAATAATTTAATATAATAATTTTGTTGAAACTTTGATATACCTCGTACTTCATTGAAATTTATTTTGTTGTCTAAAACAATTGTGTTAAATTTAAAATTAATATTCAGGACGAAAGATCGGAAAAAGGCTTTAAAGAATTACAATCAACCTTTAATGAAGAACCTACCGATAAGTAATGGTTCGGTGATACCACGAAAACCAAGCAAGAATGAAAAACATGCTGACAGAACAACAAGAATGCTCGTTGCCGTTCTATTCCTTTTTTTAATTACAGAAATACCGCAGGGTGTTTTAGGCCTTTTATCTGGAATTCTAGGTGATTGCTTCTTCCGTAATTGCTATCATAATTTTGGCGAGATAATGGACATTTTAGCATTATTAAATGGTGCTATTAATTTTATACTTTATTGCTTAATGTCTCGACAATTTCGTACATCATTCAGACAACTTTTTAAACCAAAAATCATCAAAAAGTTACAACCGCACACTCAACAAACCGACGTACAAAGTACCTACGTATGATATAAATTACAACCTTTAAAAGATACTTGTTTATAAATTATATTTTATTATTACATTACGAGATATCAATTTTATGGCTCGATAAAAAAAAAAAAAGTCGAGTACATGTAAAAGAAAAAAAAAAGGGACAAAATTTCAAATGTGCCGAATAGATAAATTAAATAATTGCCAATTATTTTTTTTTATTCCGAAGTAAATATTTTTTGATAATTTTCATTTGTCGCGCGTATATAAATATACAAATGCCATATTTAAATTATAAATATATAACTTATGTCTCTTATTGAGATATATATTAAAATATATCAAAATGAAACATCATTTTACCAAGAACAAAAAATTCTAGTGATAATCTGCAAAACGACAAGCATCCAACAAATGGAAACTTTTAATAGATAATAAATTAATAATTTATTCATTTAGATAAAACGAGTTCTGGGACACTCATTATATCGTTCTTCCAGATAAAAATGTTATCAAACCATAAATAAATGTTTTATTTTTATTTTTATCTACGCTAACTTAATTTCTAAACTTTTATTGGACTTTGGCTTGAAGTCCAAGAAATTCGATGAAATCTAACACGATAGTTTGCACGTTCTTGATTAAAAAAGAATAAGAAAGAAATATTAGCTTACATTAAAATGCTAAGTAAGTTTTTAGAGAGTAGGATGTAAAGTCAATTAAGTATCTATTAAAATTTCTTGCATCGTTAGTTTAAAGTATAATAAGATAAATAAGAAGAAAGAATATTTCTTTTGCCAAGATAATATAACGTATATAAATATAATCCATCGTTAATATAAGATCTTTATCATTAATAACAATTTATCATATTTAAAATATACGTCCATCGCGATATTCACGATAAACTTGCAAGCAATAATTATCTTCCTTCTTCTTTTATTTCAATTTAAAATAAATATTAATTATATATATATATACGTGTGTGTGTGTGTGTAGATTCAATCCTATCAATTTATATATAACAGCTTACGACGAGAATTACAAAATCTCATTTATTTGCTAATTATCAATATTTTTATATAAAAATAAACATTTTTATTTGTTTTTATATAATATATATTTCTAATACCATATATGTATATACATATAAATATGGTATACGTAAGATAAAAATATTATTCAAAAAGAAAAGTAAATTTTCCATAAATACAAATATTTCTTGCATTCTAATTGCAAGCGTTTATTTAAAACGAAAAAATAAACATGTAACTGTGTAAACGAGTTATATATATATATATATTCTATTTATGTATTTAAATGTATGTGATAAAATATGTAATCGAAAAATCGTTTAATAATATTCCAATGTTATATGCAACATATAAAAAAAAAAAAAAATTCATTTAATTCATCATATACGTAATAAAATCTTTCTATCGATCAAATTTCTCATCTTCTAAATAATTCTTATAAAATATATGAAAAATAAATAAGTAAATATAATACTTTAAACATCGATATGTTATGATGTTCAAATTCCCATAAAACTTTTCATTCATAATATTATAATAAAATAAAATAAACGAAATGTTACTATTCTCTCTGTGGGAATTCTATGTCATAGAATTAACTCAAATTTTAAGATTTTAATCGAAGACTCCATTGTTTTATCGATGTCATTATTTATATAAGATAGTTTATGAGAAAGCTTTTAAAAAGAAAAAATATATATTTACAACAAAAAATTTTGTATGAATAATAGAATTAATTAATAATATATATATATATTTATATTTGCTTTTTATATATTGCATAATTATATATATATATATATACGTATATATACATGTCAATTTAAATATTACACACATATTTATAATTAATATAATACATATAGTATTTAAAAAGTATATAATTCTTTTAATTAAATACATGTTGCATTTATTCAATGTGTACGCTCTCCTCCTCAATGAATAAAATTAGTAACTCACACATCGATAATTAATATTAAAATGATATTTATAAAATATTTCTATCTTATATTGAATTATTAATATCTTCCTAAAAATGAAAAATCTTTGAAATTATTGTACAAGTGTTTAAAATAAAAATTGACTTACTTTATATCTTCAGTGATGATTACAGGATGACGATGAACATAAAGAAAAAGTGTTTTTTCTAAATAAAACCTAAAAACATATCTTGTATTGCTAAAGTTTATATATTAAAATACAAAGCATATTAATGATTGTCACGTTCATATAAATAATTAATAATTGTTAATCTTCATTTTATATATTAAAACTTTTTAAATAATTTTTCTCTTAATTACTAAGTAACTGTTGCTGTTGTTGTTGTTGTTGTTGTTGTTGTTGCTGTTGTTGTAATTTAACTGATAGCTTTTTCGCCATTTGTACTATCTGTTACACATAAAAAAAAAGAAACATAAATAACAATATAAGATTTTTAAAGAGAATAAAATATGAGAAAAAGCAAATCTAATAAATCACCTGCAAGTCAACATCGATAACAGCCATAATGTCGTTCAAAGCCGATAATATTTCCGAAGCTTCTATGGTCTTTCCAATGGCATCAAGAATTACAGCATAATTAATGAGTACTAATGGATCTTGAGGAGACAAAGAATGAGCTTTGTCTAAAGCTTTTTCAGAACCTTCTAGGTCATCGAGTCTTTTAAGAGCCACTATTAAAAGTGCATTTTCTTCAATCGATAAATAACGATAAATCTTGTTATATATGTTTATAAATATCCTAATATTTTGTATGTCAATTTTAATGTAATAAAAAAGTCATATCAAAAAATAAAATAATATACTAATCATAATGCACTTACATCCAAGTAAAAGATACGGCATTGGATTCTTTGATGCTGCATTAACAGCAGCGCATAAATAAATTGCAGCTGATGCTGGTTGTCCGGTTGTAAGAAATACTACACCCAAATTATAAACTGGTAAGAATGCTAATGGGTTCAGATAATGAGCTCTTTTCAAACAACTAATAGCCTAAAATTAAATAACACAATTTAATATTTATTATTCATATTATATTAGGTCGAGTCATAAGTAACTATCGATGCGTCTATGTAGAATCTATTTTTCGTATTTACCTACTATAAGTCACCAAAACAAACGAATTTTTGATATCACTGTATAGATGAGAATTCAGTTAGTCTTCTGTCAACTTTTTTATGTAGTCAATGTTACATTTAACCATTTTTCTTAACTTCTGAAATGGATAGTAAAAAGTGCATATTCGACATGTAATGCTTTAGGAATTTAAACAAGGCGATAACACTAAAGTGGCAGCTGAAAAAATATACAGCGTATATGGTGCAGAATTGATAACTGATAGGGCAGTCAGAAATTGGTTTGTAAAATTTCGTTCTAAAGATACGACCTTAAAAGGCAAACCGAGTGTAGGACGTTTTTCTAACTTTGACGAACCTTTTAAAGGTAATATTGGAGCAAAATTCAATAGATACACGTCCAACAGATACAAAGAGTACAAAAAAAACTCCATGAAAAGTGTCCTGCACTTATTAGTGGCAGAAACGCTATTCTTAGTCTCATAAAACGGAAGTTATTTATGACTCGACCTAATATTTTTTTTTTTTATAGTTTTCATATGCAATTGTATTACTTACAGCAACGAATTTTTGTTTTCCATAAAAGCACATACCAACATTGTTCCAAAGAGCCGACGATTCTGGCGTTAATTGAGCCGCTGTTTTATATTTAGACAATGCTACGTCGTATTCACGATTTTTCTGAAATAAAAGAAGACAAAAAAAAAACAAAGAAATTTAATTGTCAATTATCGAACGAAACTCAATACCGTTCATCAATGGATATTTATCTGAAATACCTAATGAAATTTCTCTACAATCTAACGAAAAACAATCATATATTAATGTTACCTTTTAATAATTGTCTACCTGCACACGCACATGCGTGTATTTATATCTTCACATTATATTTCTACATCTTATTAAAAAAAGTCAATGTATTCTTGAAAGATAATATTTTCATATTCATATCATCATATTCATTAGACTGATTTCATATAATTACCAATTGTAATATTTGATTTTTATTAAACATAAAAATAATAATTACATGTTATTTTTTTATTCGACTCACTTGCATTATAAAGGCAATTGGCAAAAGAGCTTTCGAACAATTAGACGTGTGAGCTAAAGTTATTCCAAATTGTTGAAATGCTCTTTGAACGTCACCTATTCTTAGATATAACAAACCTAATTCTGTAGACACTGTCACACTCTCAGGATTTCCACTAAATTAATGAATAATTTTATATCGGATTAATTATAGTTCGATTAAAATATCTATGAAATTATATCATCATTTTCATTATTGATTAAAACATACTTTAATGCAGCAATATACATATTTTTAGCTTCTACTATTTGATCTTCCATCAGGTGAACTCTTGCAAGAGCAAGATAGGGTAATTCATTTTTTGTTAATTCGATCGATCTCTTAAATTGTTTTTTAGCTTCTTGTAATTGATCTAATTTAACATAACATTCTCCTACAAAAAAAAAAGTGGGATTTGATTCATCAACGTTCCTTTCATTTCACACGATAAAAAAAAAAATACAAAAATCTAATGAATTTAATAATTGATAAACAATCAATAAAAAATATACATTTTATAATTATTTAATTTATTAAATAATTCAATCAATAATTACCAAGACTATGATATATTTCCCAACCAGGTAAAATACTTGTTTTTTCCGCTTCCAAATAAACTTCAACCGCGCGTTTATGGCTACCCATTATCAATCTAAAAGAAATACTTAAGATAATCAAATTCTACTTATACGAATGCGAGATAATAAATATGATCGTGTAAAAAAATAAAATAATTCTTGAAATATATATATATATATATATATATATATATATATAAAATATACAAGTACTCACAAGGATTTAGCTATTTGTTTAACGTTATTAACGTTAGATGAATTTACATTGTAAGCTGCTTGAAAACTGTCTAAAGAATCTTGAATTTTACCTTCTTTTCTCAAAATAAGACCCTAAGAAATGAAAAATTCAAATAATATTATAAATTTTGTCTAATATTAGAAAACTTACCTTTAAATAATTAGCATATTCATTATGACCATTTGATTTTATTAATTCTTCCTCAATAAGAATTTTACATATCTTATGTTCGCGTCTCGTATAATGACGATGCAATAACCAATTACGAATTTCTATTGATGGTATGTCCACAACTAAATACATTTAAATCAAAATTAATTTCTTCTTATATTGACATTTGCCGTGAATTTATTATTATAATTTTATTATTTTATTTAATTTAACCGGAAATTATGAAAAGTCATTTATTTCGTAATATAGGTATGACTTAGATTAATAATAATTATTAGAAATAAACTAATTTATTTTTCATTATACAGTTAAAAGTTTTGTAGTTAAAAATTTTACAGTCATTTCATAATACATTATTGCCGGCTAAATTAATTTTTAATACAATAATAATATGAAAACAATATGTAACAAATGAAAAATTGGAAAGATATCGTATTTTTGATTTGTTTGAATTTTTGTTAGTATACGTATCACCTTAGTAACAAATATAATACCTTTCTTCGTTCTGTCATCTCTCAATCGCTGTGAAACTGTTGGTTGTTGAATACGTCCGTTGCTCAGTGTATTGTTTGCCATTATCAGTATACTACTACGTTTATTTAAAATTCCTTTCCCGATAAAGTATGTAGTTAACTAGTATTCATGCTACTCGAATATCATTCGCATAATCGAAGAATCTGTTGTGTTAACCGTAACTCTGGCAACCATTAACTTCTAAATCTTTAGACACAAATTATGGATCAAGAAGATACATTTATAAAATATAAAAAATATCAGGTAATATATATGTCAATTTATTTTTATTAAAAAAAAAAAAAAACTAACAATTTTTATTTGTATCTTTCTTTAATAAATATAATCAATTTTCATGATTATTTTTATCTGTTCTATTAATACCGAATGAGATATAAAAGAAAAATTATTGTTTTTGTATTCTATATTCTATTTATTTCTTTTTGTTTTTATTTTTACTATAATAAATAAATAAATATATATATATATAATATTTACAACTTATTGTGTTATGTAGTAAATATTTTAATTCATATTCTACAAGCAGCGCCAACGTGGCGATAAACATAACTACGGAACGTCATCTGAAAATTAATATGGCCAGAAACGTTTTTCATTACGTGATAACGAGATATAAATGTTGAAATAACAGTGAAAGTACAAGGAAATCGCTAAAAATATTTCCAAATATAAATTTGTTATTGTAATAAGATAAATCAAATAAATACGTTATTTAGTATAATAATAATAATAATTTAAAAAAAAAATATGCTTCTCGACTACTCATTTCAAGATGTAAAAATAGAATTTATTCTAATACGATAGATTGATCGTGAAGTGTTTTGAAGAACAGATGTTATCTGCTTGCGGTAAGTTTCTTATCAATAAGTCATTCATTTTATTATCAAATTAAATATTCTACCAAAAAGTATTTTTTTATTTTTATAGGTTATTTTCAAACGGTATAACTTCGTAATGTATATATACACTCACAGTTATTCCACCTGTTACCTACTTGAATACTACTATCTAAAATTATGTCAATTTCATTATTTTTATATAACAAATAATCAAACGTTATTGATGTTAAACGTATGTCACGTTTTTTATATTACATAAATGTACAGTTGTTCACATTAAGCCTTGAAATACTTCCTTATTTACTCTCATATATACATTTTTACATTGTTTTATTAGACTGTATTATAGACCACATATGTTACATATATTAAATTGATTAATAGCATAGTGTTACATTAAATGGATATATCTCTTATACGAATATACAAAGTGTACATGATGTATACAATTTTTTATTTCATATATTTTCAATGGTAATATATATATATATGTATATAAATAATATCTTTTCACAAATTTTCTTTTTAAATATTTTAATCATTTAATTTCAGTGACTGAGACAAATATGAGCCCATAAATGTAAAAATAGTATAAAATATTTTACAAAATGAGTTGTTCTGTGGAATTAAGACAACGCAGACAACAGGGGATGACGGAGGATCCTCATAGGCTTGCAGCAATGATGAATAAATCACAGAGACTGGTTTTAGGACTTTTGGTTTTATTATTGGTTGATATCATTTGGGTTTCAAGCTCCGAATTGACAAAAGTAAGATTGTTGTTTAACGACTGTATGATAACTTATTTGCCATTTTAAGTATTTTATACAGATTTATTTAGAAACTTAGCGATAATTGTATTTTATACAGTCACTAATTTATATTTCAGTATATTTATAGAGAAGCAGCTTTTGAAAAGCCATTTTTTAGTACATATATAAAAACATCTATGTTTACTCTTTATTTACTTGGTTTATGCTTTTGGCCCCCATGGCGGGATCAATGTAATAGGCCAGCCACTTATATGGTATGCATACAAACAACAAATATTTTTGTAAAAAATTTTATTGATAGTGCAGCGCTTACCTAAATGATAATTTGTTGATTCAAACATTTAGTTCATAGACCCAAATGTCGAAGATGATAACTTCTACACAGAAGCTAATACAAGTTTGGTAAAAATCATTTGATATCTTCATTAATTTATAGTTGCTTTCAATATGAAACATTAATTATATCAAAATTGATATTATTTTAGAGTGATCCAACATTTGTACCAATAAAAACACCTGATCATTGTGAGCGTTCATCTGGCACAGAAAGTGATGATTCTTCTATTCGATCTGTAAGATTTAGCAAATTAGCTGAAGTCAGGCATATGTCAGAAACTGACGCTACAGAAGCTTTATTAGCCAGATTAAGTTATCAAGCAAGCATCAGAGCCGGGGAACACGCTCGACGACAAGCTAATAAGTTTTCTGTTCAAAAAGTAGCAAAAATAGCACTTATGTTTTGTTTATTTGTAAGTAATATCTCTTAGTAATTATATTAAAAATATAATCTAACTTATAATTAATAATTTATTACATACATTCACTTTTTTGTATTTTAGTGGTTCTTAGCAAATTACGCTTTTCAAATAGCATTGTCTGAAACAGAAGCTAGTGTTGTCACAGTACTATCTTCTACATCGAGTTTATTCACTCTATTCCTTGCTGCCTTTTTTCCAAGTAATGGAGGAGATAAATTTACATTATCAAAACTAGTTGCAGTAACTGTTAGCATATTTGGATTAGTAAGTTTTTTTATTTCCTTACATCTTTTTAAATGAAAAGTAAATTTATGATTTAAAACAAGAATTTATCGTGATTAAATTATATATTTTTGTACATTTCAGGTATTAGTTGGTCTTTCAGATTTAACTATAGAAATTAGTAGAATACCAACAGGTATAATATTGGCTCTAGTCAGTGCATTTTTTTATGCAGCATATATTGTATTTTTGAAAAGAAAAGTCGACCACGAAGATAAGATGAATATACCAATGTTTTTTGGATTTGTGGGACTTTTCAATTTAACACTTTTATGGCCATTATTTTTTATTCTTCATTATGGCCATTGGGAAGAATTTGAATGGCCTGATACTCATCAGTGGACATTTTTAATAATTAATGGATTAATTGGCACTGTCTTAAGCGAAGTTCTTTGGCTATGGTAAAATTAAAAACAAATAAAAGCAATTATTTTATTATTCAATAATTTATCAACTTTTCTGGCTATAATATTCATTCGTTTTAATATTATCAGGGGATGTTTTCTGACATCGTCTCTAATAGCAACATTGGCTATTAGTTTAACAATGCCAATGTCAATGATAGCTGATGTTCTATTAAAAAAGGTTCAGTATCCTTGCATTTTTTACTTAGGAACCATTCCAATGTTATTTGCATTTTTGACTGTATCTATACTATCCCATTATGATAATTGGGATCCTGTTATGGATTTAATAAAGAGACTGTATCTCTGGATTTGTCGAAAAAATAGATCTACAAGGTACCGTAACTATATAATCTATATAAGTAAAATAACAAATAACAAAATGCGGTATTCTTATAAGATAAAAAGATATAGAATGTAATTAATTTTATAGATTACCAGATCTAGAAGCAGAACAGACAGAATCACTCATAGGAATAAATAATGGTGAACACGAAGCTTGATTCGACAATAAAAACAGTCGCGTAATATGCAAATGTTTTCTGTAAATCTATACAAAGGTAATCTATATTTTTTTTATGCCAAAAGCCATTTTATAAAAAATATATATTAAGTTCAAAAATCCTTTATATACACACATCAAAAAAAAGTTTTGCATCACCTCGGTTCCAAGAGTTTCAGAACCTTTACATACAAATGGAATAGAGATCAACACAAATAACATTTCAGCTGTTTTTACTGCTCATGAAAACCACACATTGCATGTTGTACCATCATACAGCTAGACTTTCAGAAGTTGTGGTTCAGATAGCAGTCCACACCAGTACCTCTAATATCCAATAGCACGTCTTCTTGCATTGATGCATGCATGTATTCGTCGTGGCATACTATCTACAAGTTCATCAAGGCACTGTTGGTCCAGATTATCTCACTCTTCAACGGCGATTCGGTGTAGATCTGTCAGAGTGGTTGGTGGGTCAAGTCGTCCATAAATAGCCCTTTTCAATCTATCCCAGGCATGTTCGATAGGGTTCATGTCTGGAGAACATTCTGGCCACTCTAGTCGAGCGATGTCGTTACCTTGAAGAAAGTCATTCACAAGATGTGCATGATGAGGGCGAGAATTGTTGTCCATGAAGACGAATGCCTCTCCAATATTCTGCCGATATGATTGCATTATAAGTCGGAGAATGTTATTTGTGTATCGTGAAGTCGTTTCGGTGCCTTCCATGATCACCAGTGGCGTACATCGGCCTCACATAATGCCACCCCAAAACATCAGAGAATCACCACTTTGCTGCACTCGCTGGACAGTGTTCCTAAGACGTTCAACCTGACCAAGTTGCCTTCAAGCACGTCCCCGATGATTGTCTGGTTAAAGGCTTATGCGACACTTATCGGTGAAGAGTACGTGATGCCAATTCTGATGGGTCCATTCAGCATGTTTTTGGGCCCATCTGTACCGCGCTGCATGGTGTCGATGCTGCAAAGATGGACCTCGCCCTTGCGCATCATGCAATCTATTGCGCACAGTTTGATTCATAATACGACGTCCTATGGCTGCACAAAAAGTATTATTCAATATAGTGGCGTTGCTGTCAGGGTTCCTCTGAGCTGAAATCCGTAAGTAGCGGTCATCCACTGCACTAGTAACGCTTGGGCGGCCTGAGCGAGGCATGTCATTGACAGTTCCTGTATCTTTGTACCTCCTCCATGTCCGAACAACATCGCTTTGATTCACATTGAGACTCCTAGAAACTTCCCTTGATGAGAGCCCTTCTTGACATAAAGTAACAATGCAGACGCGATCAAACTGTGGTATTGACCTTCTAGGCATGAGAACTACAGACAACACAACCAGTGTACCTCCTTCCTGGTGGAATGACTGGAATTGATCAGCTGTTATACCCCCTCCGTCTAATAAGCACTGCTCATGCATGTTTGTTTACACTTTGTGCAGGTTTAGTGACATCTATAAACAGTCAAAGGGACTGTGTCTTTGATACAATATACACAGTCAACGTTTATGTTCAGGAGACCTTGTAACCGAGGTGATGCAAAACTTTTTTTTATGTATATATATACGTAGGCTGGAACTTAAATAGTGGCAACTATTTATTCACAACCAAACCAAAGGGTTACATGTTTGCTCCTGTTACTGTCCTTCAAAGTAGTCACCAGCGTTGTGTAGAATCCGTTGCCAGCGATGTGGAAGGCGTATTATACCATTAGCAGAGCCTGTTCTGTTGATGGTGCGACAGAACAAGCTCTGTTAACGATATACTACGCCTTCCAAATCGCTGGCAACGGATTCTACACAACGCTGGTGACTACTTTGAAGGACAGTAACAGGAGCAAACATGTAACTCTTTTGTATCGGTTGTGAATAAATAGTTGCCAATATTTAAGTTCAAACCTACGTATATAAAGATATATGATATATTCAATATGATATAATCAAATATGTAAAATAATTGTTGCACATAAAATGTCTTTTAAAAATTTATGTTTATCGTAAAAAAAAAAAAATAATAGTAAAGAAAACGGCTTTAACACCAATAATAAAATGAAGGTATTATATATAACTGGTCAAAGTAATTATAACATTAATATTTGTCTCTTCAGTTCAAAATATTATAATACTGCCAGACAATAATAATTATTTATTTGAAATGAAGCTTACATTGATGTTTTTGTTTTAAATATTGTATATCTGTAAACTACCTCTGTGCAAGAAAGTATTGGCATAAATTTACAATTTTTTTATGATATATATATACATATATATTTAGTTATATGTATATATATACCAATTATGTTTGATTTTACCAATAATTTAACTGAGAAACATCAATGAGAAAAAGAGAGAGAGAGAGATAGAGAAATATATATACAAATATTGAATATTTCAACTGTTTCATAAAAATTTGCAAAGTTTATTCAAATAAAAATAGATATTATCTGCAAATTTGTTATATCTCATAAAAAGAAAAAAGTTTTAATTAAATAACATTTGCATTAATTCAAAAAATTATAACAATATATCATACATAACAAAAAAAATAAAATTAATTCAAATTATGTAAATATTCAATACTCAAAGTATCATTTAATGTGCAATTCTTTAAATTGTTAAACTTTATGAATGTTGAAAGATACATGACTAAGAAGTATTTTATAAAGTATTATACTATTATCGCGTAATATGTCTTGTTTTGCTATACATATATATATTATTGTTTTATATTTTCAATATCGTATAAATTTTTGTTATAATTCTTGAAAAAAAAAAGAAACAATCTATGCATTACGTACTTACATTAATTTCAAATTAATTATTTAAATGAAATATTTCTCTGGCAATTTTAATAACTAATATCTGTATGAAAATGTAAACGTATAAATAATTTTTTGGACCAATTAGGAATTATAATAATAAATTGAACGCAAAGTGTGGAAAATGTAATGAATATATTAAAATGCATATTAATTTTATAATATTCAATTAGAGGTATTCATTAGCTTTATATCATATTTGTCATGTCTAGTCAATATGTTTCTATTGTCACACATTCCTTTGTTAGAAAGTAACTTGAAATACAATTGAATTGTTATTTTAATAAAAAAAAAAAGAAAAGTAATAATAATAATTATTATTATATATAGACATATTTTGTTATATGATTACAAATTTCGTTGGTAAGAAATATAATATTAAATATTTCTCCTAACCTAAGAAGTAAATGCGCACAATTTCAATGCTATATGTTGCTGGATAAAAAAAAAACAAAAATAAAAATAACTATTGTAAAGTTTTTTAGGATTTTATTAAATATTTATTACTTTTCTAAATTTTAACTCTATAGTTATACTATATTATATGTGAAATATATATATATATATATATAAATATATATAAATAGTACGAATGTTAAAGATGTCTTCTCTAAATGTTAAGGATTATTATTACATGATTAAAAATGGTAGTAATATTGTGATATTTATATCATCAGTGCGCAAAAACAACAAAATATATATAATTTTATGAAATGTAAGATAAAAATCAAGCTGAATGACATATAGATAATAGATAAGCGTTTCTGTATCTATTATAATTGTACATTTAATGTAAATATAAAATAATAGGTTTAAAATTATAATTATATACACATATTATATAAGAAATATAAGAAATTTCATTATGAATCATGCTATTTTCTTGTAATTGATAACTACATTATATTTATATTGTACATTTATTTAAACATTATCATTTTAAAATTTAGTAATTTTTAAACTTAATTTTTTAAAATTATAAATTAGTAAATTAAATCCAAATCGCGTACCTCTAACCGTGGAGTGGCGCTAGTGTTTCGTTTGTATACAATTGTATATATTAAACGTTATTAATTATTAATTATAAATTATAAATGGAAAAAAATCGACAATATAAACTTACAAATCGATGTCGATCTTTTTAAAAATAATATTTTCTTATTAAAGATTTAATTTCAATTTAACTTTACGATTAATTTATAATAAATTATTTCTTACCGATAGTGTAAAAAATTTTATGTATATGTATTTTATTTTAATTAAGACTAATAATTTGTTAAAAAGTTCAAAATTAAGTAAAGAAAGTAAATAATTAAGTATCTAATTTAAGAAAATTGAAAAATTCATAGCGTATTTTTTTGTATATTTGAAATTTTATAGTTTCACGATTAATTACTAATATTCATAATAAAAATTTGTCATTAGATATAAATGCAGTATATATATTTGTTAAAATTATTTAAAAAAGAAAATTGAAAAATATGATAACTTATACAAATTTTGTCCAAATTAATCTAATTAAATACACAATTTATTAATATTTCATTTTTTGTAAACTTGTTACAAAACTTATTTCAAAATTTAAGTGTAAACACACAAATATAATTTATATCATTTCAAAATATAAAATGGTTAATAATATTTATGCTATAATAAAAAAGCAGGTATATAGGAACAGAGGCATACAAAACACAAAAAAAAAAATGCAGAAAAAAAATGTTTCTTTTACAAACAAGCGTGAATAGTTTTTTTTTTTTTCATAGAAAATATATATCTTTTTTATATAGTATTAATTCGCACTATAAAATGCATGTATCCAACGAGCATCCATCTTCATATGATAAAATGAAAATGTCCTTGCTAAAAATATTTTATAACACATAGTCTTTGAACTTCTCTAAATTCTGTCAAATTTCATCAGAATGTTCTTTACTTTTTTTATTCTGTAATAACAATATCTTTCTTTCTCTCTCTCTTTCTCTCTTCCTTTCTCTCTCTCTCTCTCTCTCTCTCTTTCTCTCACTATATATATGTATATATATTATATATTTTGTTTCTACCATATCCTGAGAAATTTCAATTTGATTATTGACAGCTAAATAATATTTTGTAATTTTTAAATTTGTTCACAGTAAAACGATATCATACAAATTTGTTGATAAGACTAGATCGAAAAAAGGAATTGATA